CCAAAAAGATTATGACGATGATCATCTTGTTAGTGGATGCACACACCCAGCCACATCGAGAGTGCGGCATATGGGAGCATATGGAGGGTCGATTGGAGGGCCCAATCCCATCCCGTGCACACATAGCCCGGACGCAAACCCTTATCGGCCTTGAGGCACCATCGACATCCCAACAGTAGATAGAACCCTGATATCTGTGACCAGATTTTTGGGCAACAAGTGTATCTGTTGGGTAATGTAATATATGTAGCCACTGTTCGAATAGGGCCACACTTGTTGACAGCCACGAATTTCCCATAATCGAACGGAACGAGGAAGGTGGGTGGTCTGTATTGGATCTCGAAGATTACAACAGCTAAATGAACAAGTGTTCGACGGACTGCCTTGTGGATGAGGATGATGAAATGGAAATGGGAATGAGACGGATCTGATCTGGGCATTTACTTACGCCGCAACATTGGACACCTTCTGCTTGCGCTCCCAGTCTCGATTCTTGATCTTGAGCCTTGTGCGGGGCGGTGTTGTGCCAAATTCCGCATAGTGGGCGGCCAGCTCATCCTCGGATGCCATGTCCTCCTCGAGAGCCCCGATGCGGGCATTGGACATTTGCTGTGGCCGCGAGGGCGTCTGTTTGACACGGTACTCCACTCTGCAAGATGGTGAGAGGCAAAGGAGAGAGGCAGAGATTTAGTGTTTGACCAACACCGACTATCTCAAGCCAAGGGCTTGCCCTAATTGGCCGCTAATTGGGACCAGAAGCAGGTGTCGCACGCAGCCTAATCTGCGATGGGTTGGGGATGGGTCCATCCCCATGCAAATGCGTTTATCTTATCACACGGGGCTGCAGACAGCCGCTTGTCACGCCCATGATTGTGGTTTAATTTGAGGGCAGGTTTGATTTATTTCATCGGCTGGCGATTATTCTGTTTCCTCTGATTGTCGTCTCTCCACATCGTAGCATATAGTTTCATCAGTCTATTTCATGATTTCAGTTTGAAAATCGTGGTATTACTTACTTTTTTCGACGCATTTTTTCCGTATAAAGCTGGCCTTACAGCCCACAGTTTCAGCAGCACAATTGCTCTCAAACTTCACGTGCGATCACCGAATCGCAACGGAACGACAGAGACGGTCGTACTCTTTCGCGCAGAGGTTACGCTATCACTGGGCGGGTGAGGGGGGTCTGGCTGGCTCCCAGGCTGGCTATTACTTTTGAATAGTACTCTGTCCCCCCTAAAATTTATGTACATCTAATTGTACGGCTCAGCTCCACTCTACACGACTGTGACAATGTGTAAAAAAATAAAAACAATAAAAAGCACAATCGAAAAGTAAATAAAAATTACATGCGGAGAGAGGGACTCCGGAGAGTGGCGAACTTTAGACGCGAGCGAAACGATGACTGGACTTTGTTGGCGGGGGGGAACTCTTGGCGACTCTTGATGCGATTTCTGTTACATATATATGTATTTATGCACTATCTTCAGTAGTTTTATTGTTTACTGTTTATCAGCGCATGCAAAAAGGCCTTAGTTCAGACGCCTCTTTTCTTCCTTTGGGCGCCGGAGGAGGATTTCATAACGCGCGACATTCGTCGGGCAAAGCGAAATGCTGCGCGGCGGCAGGCAGTCAATTTATTAGCACTTTTAACAAGAATTTACCCCATCGAGTCGAGTCGTCTCTCGTCGATATACCGATATATACTATATGTATAGAGTACGCGGCGGTCGAGTCTATGGTGTATATCGCGTGTACTCCCGACGATGGCGTCGCGTCTCGAACGACTGCTGCCGAGTGCCGAGTGCAAACGGCGGCAAACTAAAAGCACGAGCGCCCCATCGGCACCATCTGCCCAAGAGAGTGTTGGAGAGAGTTCGAGAGTAGTTTAGTGGGTGGTTGGCCAGCGAGATAGAGTGTGAGGGAGAGTACGAGAGAGAGAGAGAGAGGGAGAGCGGCTGCCGATCTGATATGTTTGCCATTCGTTTGTTTTCTGGTTTGTAATTGACTTCGCGCCTGCTGGCGAACGTTTAATATTAATTTATTGAATTTTATTATGTACGCGCTCGTTACTTAATTAGCTTTGTTTACCCCACACACACACAGTGGGTGGTGGAAGGTGGGTGGTGGAAGGTGGGTGGTGGAAGGTGGGTGGTGGAAGGTGGGTGGTGGAAGGTGGGCGGTGTATTCTCCAGCTGGTAGTCTGCCTGCGTGCCACAAATCGAAGGGAAAATCAATTCAAATCGATTCAATCAAGTGGCTTCGAGTCATAGGCATTCCCTTTCCGCTACGTCACGTGACTTCCAGGGCGTATTCTTGATATACAACACCCTTTCGTTAGACATACGCACTGGGTGCATCATTCATGAGGCATAACAGCGATCGCCATGATTAATGGATCGATTTCCCCCTCAGCCATCACTCACCCATCACAACCGGCATTCGAGTTGGCCCTTCCTGTGGCTCAGTTCTAAGAAGGCCAGGGCTCATACAAAATATCAAGAATATTCAACATTTTAGCAAGAATCATCATCATATCGATACCACAGAAACGATCGATCAGGCAAGGGTATCAAAAGCTTCGGCTGCCGATGGAAGTATTTTTTTTTTGTTCTTGTTATTTTTCTCCTCTATTATATTAGAGCCAATAAAACGATCACTACCACTGTCTGGAGTAAACAGAATTTTGAGAAACACACTATTCGAAAAGCCAAAAAAAATACGGCACGTGGGAGTGTGCGGGGCATGCGGAAATGTTTTCCGTTATGTATGTACACGCCGTAGTTATGCTTATCAGACCAACTGATGGTATCACCGGGCATGCCCGCCGATTACCCACAGAAGTGTGCGAGTTGCAAGTTCAAGTACGAATGGGGCAAGAGCGTGGAGAGAGGGAGAGATCTCGCTCTTTTGGCCAAGTGTCCAACAAGAGTTAGGAAAGACCTTCGGGCATTGGAATTCCATTCATTCGGGCAAGAGACAAAACAAAGCTCCGGGTAACTTGAGAAGAAAGCGAATTTGATTTCAAAACAGAATTGCCCGACGGCCGGATGGCCGGACGGCCCGACGCTATAACGAAAGAGGTTACAAAGCAGAATGTGCAAGCGCACGTATTAAACGCGTTTTAACTGGTAGTCAGTCGTCGTCGTCGTCGTCGTCGTCGCCGTATCGTGTCTCCCTCTCTCTCCCCACAGCAAACTGGTATGCGAGGTGAAGAAGAACAAGACGGAGATAGAAGACGGCAGAGACGCAGCACCTTTGCAGCTGGGCGGGGAGGAGCAACGCAACGCAACGCGGGCGAGCAGGTGCCAGCCAAAAAAAATCCAAATTTATGTTTGGCGTGATTTTCCCGCTAACTGCGTAGAGACATGCAACAGAAGAAGAACACAGTTTTCCTGTGAATGCCATGTCTCACCCTCTGCTGCTTGCCGGAAAAATCAAATCAAATTTAAACAAATTATGAATAAGCACCGGTAAGCAACGGTAACAAGAGTGTGCCATGAATACATACATATGTGCTCTTGTGTGTGTGTGCGTTGTCTTATCAGGCAAAAGCCAGCGGCGTTATCAGCAAATGTCTCGGAAGACTCAACTCCCCCTCGAATAGGGTGGTTATGATAAATGTTCACACACAGAAAAGCAGTAAGCAGATCACGGGGCAGAAGAGTGTGTGTGGTGTGCATAATTGTAATTGCGCCGCTCCATCCGGCCAAGAACAAGAACAACACAAGGTATTCAATTTCCAGCAAAATGCACAATTTTTGATTTTTTTGTATTTTATGGCTGTCTTGCAATTTGTTAAAAGTCGACTGGGGTTCGTTGAGCGGCGGCAAAACACGTTGTTTACGTTTTAACAATTAAAAAACTGGTGAAATGCGCTTATAAATGAGAGCGAGCGAGCAGGACAAGGAGAGAGGAGTGGAGCGACAGAAACCAACACCAAAGCTGCTGCTGCTGCTGCTGCTGCTGCTGCTGCCGCAACGTACATTTGTACATAACATTTCTTGTTCGCTTGGAAAACCCTGAAAAATTCCACTACTGCCGGTTGCTTACCTTGCAACATCCTCATCCACGCTGTGCTCGCGTCGTAACCGCATTGGGGGCACCGGCGGTGGGCTGGTGGTAGTGGTAGTGGTGTCTGCACCATCTTCATCCTCCTCCTGTGCCAATGCGGCTGCTGCTTTGTTACTTCTAGCCGGCGTCGTTGTCGTTTGCAGCTGCAGACTCTGGAGGGCGACGTAATCAATTGTGCGCACTCTTCGACGATTGTTTGACATTTTTGCAGTGTTTGTTGTTGCTGCTTTTGTTATTCTTAGAAATCTTCACACACATATATGCATACATATGCATATGCACACACACACACACACACAAGCACTGGTAGCACGCGCTGCTGCTGCTTCTCTGCTGTTGTTTTTACAGTTGCTGTGACTGCTTTAGCCGGATGATAATCAGATTTATTTTAATTTAACTTTCACGGCAAACAAACACACAAATGCGGCTACGCATACGGGCGGCGACGTTCATAACGAAACCAAAATGGGTCTCAGCTTTGAAATCGTTCAAATTTGTTCCCGAACACGACCCGCAACCAGGTGACGCGTCTTACCTGGCCAAAAAAATACAGTAATCAGCGAAGAGAAGAGGCTTTGGAGCTCTGATTTAGCGGCGCGGCTCCACTCACATACATACATAAGTTCGAAACAGCTGTTTCCCTAGCGGTAGCCAACACTGTTCAGTTTGAAATCGATGGGGCGCAAATATTCCTTTAAAAATCCACATTGTTATTCACCAATATGCATACATTCCTGGTTAAAAGAGGAGAGGCTCGTTGAAACGGCTTTTGAATTGGAGTCTGCACGGTTTCACATGTTTTTCCTGCTCTCTACGCACACAAACGCATATAAGTATCTAAAAACTATTTTCGCAGTCAAGTTCGAATTTTCGATATTGCTAACCAGCACTGCAGTTACAGTTTCAGATTGATTGGGCGCACTATTATATTCCTTTCAAAATCCACTTTATTGTTTAACAACTCCTAAACTGTGCACAAAACAATTCACAGCAGTATCAACCACACACACACACACACACATGCATGCCAAGGCAATAATTAAACACGATTTAAACACTATAGTAACTGGTACGATGGTAACAAATTGAAAAGTCTAGAAAAAGTTCCTGAATATGCGAACGACGGCCTGCACCCAGCGGGGCACTGCCCGCCTAACAATCTCCCGCTCCGCCGTCTGAGACAGATCATAGAGGCGATCCGCCTCGGCCTGCAGGCGCTGGCTCAGATCCGTGTTGGTCGTCACCAGGCACACCTGGGTCTCCAGATCGCGATTGACCGAACGCTCACCGAAGTTTGAGGAGCCGATGAGCGTTAGGTTTGGTAGACGCGCCTCGGGCAGGTAGTACCACAGGCCCTTGGCGTGGTACGTCCAGCCGGGCTTCTCGTACTCGAAGAAGTTGACGCGATGATTCTGCTTCCGACGCACCAAGCTCTCGTAGAAGCTCTTTGCTATCAGGGTGTATGCAGCCGGAATTCCGCCGGCAGGCCCCTTAGCGCCCTGGAAGCCATTCGCCTGTGGAAAACGATTTTAAGAAGGAAACACCTCGAAATGACAGTCTCGCTTACGTTTGGATGGGCCATGAGAATGCTGCACTGCGCGAGGCACTCGTGCGTGATGGTGTCCATGTATTCCTGCGTCAGGTTGAAGTAGCCGGTGGCCAGTTTGAGGCGGGAGCCGGCAATGCAGCTGGAGAGCAGACGCTTGGTCACCACACTGTCGTGATGGATGCCAATCTGACCCATCTCGAGCAGCGGGAACACCCAGGTGTCCGCCCCCGTCTGCAGGTCCCTGACCTGACTCTGTCGCTTATATGTCTCCTGGACAAAGTCCGATATCCGCTTCCTGGCCAGCTGAATGAACTCCTGCTTGGTGCCCTCGTAGGGAAGGATGCGCCAGTTGGGATGCAGCCCCTCTGAGGCGTCTGGGCTCACGGCCAGGCTGAACTCCTGCACCCGCCCAATGAGCTGCGCATAAAAGTCCGCCAGGGGCTTATCTTCGATTAGGATGTAGCGGTCTTGTCGGTTGGTGAAATAGTCATTCGAAAGATTGGCCCCGGATATGATGACCGCATCGTCGAACAGGTAGACCTTCATGTGCTGCAGGCCCAGGAGCTCGTTCCAGCGCGGTGGCGCCAGTCGTTTGGTCATCCCCCGAAGATCTGGCGTGTGGTAAAGGGACAGTTGGACCTGCTCTTTGAATTCGCGGACGAGCGGCATTAGCATGGACTTGGAATTGAGATCGCCACGTGTACCGCGTGTGAAATCCAATAGCACGTTTAGGCGCAGCGACGACTCCGACTGCAGGCTGTGACGCAACGTCTGGACAAAGGCACTCTCCAGCTGGCCCGTGCCCAGGTAGAGGCTGGCCAGCACGATGCGCTTCTTTGCCTTGGCAATTCGCTGGATCAGCGTATCGTAGAAGTGCTGGGGCTCGTGTATCACATGGATCTGGTCGCCGCGCAGCGGGAAGCAGGGCGCCAGATTGTGTAACCAGGAAAGACTCTCCAGGGCGTGGGATCCGGCAAAGCCATTGGTTAGCAGGAGCGGTGCCTGTTGCAGGCAGCCCAGAAAATCCGTTTGTGCGGCAGGACTCAGCTCCTGGCTGAACAAGCGGCGCAGATATAACATTATTCCAGCGCGGGGTTTCTCTCGTAACGTCTTCGCGGACTGCTTATTGATATTTGGTGCGCAGTAGCTGTATAAGCCCCTCAGACATTGTTCACTGTTCTTTGACTCCACTTTTGGCCCCACTTCCATTCATCGGAGGGCGATTTAATGCAGAAAAAACTTGGAATTTCACCAGACAAAAATATATCCAAGTTGATCCAAGTGATAAGTGCTGGACAGCGTGCGTCAAACAGCTGATTTTAAACGAGCCTGAAAGAACGAATTAGTTCGCGAACGAACTAATCAGTAAATTGAACGAAACCCAACACTCACACTAGCTTGCTAGGGTTTTAAGTTTGACCTTTTTTGTTTAACCCATATATTTAAAAAAATCCAAAAGGGGAGTACTTAGAATTAACCAATCTGGTAGAAAATTTATTCATTGATCGGATAAAATTATGTGGGCGTAGCTAAATGCTCTATATAGCTAGTAATAATCAACGGAAACTCAAAAACGAGGAATATGTAAAAACAAGGACTAAAAACTGGCTAGTTAAGTAGAAAATTGATTCATTAATCCCATCAAATTATGTGGGCATAGATAAAGGCCCGGTTGACAACATTTAAATCCTTGTCGCTCACATTCAAAAAAGTTAGATTTGGCGCGCACCACTCGGTATATTTTGTGTATTTCGGTGCTGTTCTGAGGGTCATACTGTAGAAACTGGTTTTCGCCGCGCTCCTGTGGTATTTTTGTCATCTATTAATTTCATTTTCAATGTTATATAAAAATCCAATAAATGCAATTATTTCGAATAGGCCAATCATGTATAGAATTGATTCATCAATCGTATAAAATTGAGTAGGCATGGGTAAATGTTCCATATAGATAGTATTATTCAACGGAACAAAGAATTGGTCGTTTTTTGAATCGAATTTGAGTTCGCCGCAGTTCGCCGCAGTTCGCTTTAGCAACAATGAGTCTCATTCCATACACAAACATGTTGCTAATTCCATGCACACATACCCTGGGGCAAATAGATGTTATAGAATTGTGAATATGTTTGTCTTCCAAGGCTCCGTAGGTATCAGGATCGACATAAATATACACAGGATACTAATAATGTACTTGAATATGTCTAAAGAATATCAATTTGAGAAAAGGTCTTAATAAATTTCGTTTCATCTTCATATAAAATTAGCGAAATAGGGTGTACAAAGGGCTATACACGCATCACGTCTTTAAATACCAGCAACATTGCGACTCTTTTTTGGTTGGACTTTTTCGTTTAACCCTGTTTTTACAATAAATACAATAAAAGCAAGGATTAAAAACTATCCAATCTTGTAGAAAATTGATTCATCACTCGTATAAAATTATGTGGGCATGGCTAAATGTTCTATATAGCTGGGAATATTCGACGGAATAAAGAATTGAGCAATTGGAATGATACTCGTTTGTTTATGCTACTGTTGTATGAACAAAAGTGCCTTGTGCGTATGCCTATAGTGGCTGCTGTAAGTCCTGATGTCACAGGGCACTCCCCAAAAACAGCCGCTGTTCCACGGCTATTCCGTGCTTTCCACCTTCTTCGCATTTACAGTTAAAGTCGAGCCACAGAGTCTGCAGCGATGCCGAAACGACCAGCGGCGTCCTTTGGCGAAGTTGTGGCCCACTACTCGCTTCCTCAGCCCCGGCGTCTTCGGGATTCTGGCGTCTGGTGCGATGGAAAGACCGTGGAGAACGTGCGTGAGCCGTGGGGAATGGGGCCTGCTCCACCGCCTGTACCTGTGCCTGCCGCCTTCCTGCTGTTCTCTCGACCGAGTACAGCGACGGGAACGGAACCACGACGACGAGCGATACCCTTCAAGGATGTGGGCGATGCGCACGCCCTGGACGTGTCGGTGGCGGAGAGGCGCATCTACTGGACTGACCAGGCCGGGCCTTTCTCAATGGCTGCTATGTGCAGCAGATCGTGGACTCGGGTCTGATTGGGCCGGACGGCATCCGATGGTCCGATGCGGAGGTTCGTCTCATCGAGGTCGCCCGCCTGGATGGCAGCAGTCGGCGCGTGCTCTTGTGGAAGAAGGTGGAGGAGCCCCGGTCCCTGGTCCTCGAGCCGCGCCGCGGCTACATGTACTGGACAGAGTCGCCTTCGGACTCCATACAGCGTGCCACGATGGACGGATCCGAGCTGCAAACCATCGTGGCGGGAGCCAACTATGCGGCCGGGCTCACATTCGACCAGGAGACGAGTCGCCTCTACTGGGCCACCCAGTCGCGGCCAGCGAAGATTGAGAGCGCCGACTGGGGTAAGAAGCACCCGATACTGGTTTGCAGCGACACCGATGAGCCGTACGCGGTTTCGCTGTATCAGGACTACGTGTACTGGAGCGACTGGAACACCGGCGACATTGAGGGGGTGCACAAGACGACATGCGAGAACCGCAGCCTCGTCCACTCGGGCATGACTTACATCACTTCGCTGCTGGTGTGCAACGACAAGCGACAGGTGGGGCTAATACGTGCAAGATCAACAACGGGCGCTGCTCCCACCTGTGCTTGGCCCAGCCCGCAGACGGGGCATGACCTGTGCCTGCCCCACCCACTACCAGCTGGCCAAGGACGGGGTCTCCTGCAAGAACTACATCATCTTCAGCCAGAGGAACAGCTTCGGCCGACTGCTGCCGAACACGACAGACTGCCCGAATGTGCCGCTGCTAGTGTGCGGCAAGAATATCCGCGCCGTGGACTATGATCCGATCTCGCATTACATTTACTGGGTAAGGAGAATTAGCAGAAGCTGAGCGCGGTGTCCCTAATATCCCTAATCCTTCTTTTTCTTTTCAAGATCGAAGGCAGGAGTCACAGCATCAAGCGTTCTCTGGCAAATGGCACAAAGGTGAGCCTCTTGGCCAACTCCTGACAGCCGTTCGACATTGCAATCGACATCATTGGGCGGCTGCTCTTCTGGACCTGCTCCTACTCCAACAGCATTAACGTGACAAGGTGAATCTCTCTCTCTCTCCGATTCATCCGCACAATTGTGTTCCTAAAGCGTTGCCTCTTTTAGCTTCCTGGGTGAATCCGTAGGCGTCAACGATACCGGGGACTCGGAGAAGCCTCGCAACATTGCCGTGCATGCCATGAAGCGTTTGCTCTTCTGGACAGATGTCAGCAGCCATCAGGCCATCATTCGGGCCCGATTCGAAGGCAATGAGCGTAAGGAGCTGGCCTACAAGCTGGAAGGAGTCACGGCGCTGGCCCTGGACCAACAGTCCGACTACAACAGTCTACTATGCCCATGGCAAGTGAATCAATGTGATAGACCTCAAAGGAAAGAACAAGTAAGCAACCAATATGGAGACCCGACCCTCTGAACACATGTGTAATCCCCTGTTCCCTCTCACTGGAAAAACTTTGTTTCCATGCACATCACGCAAGTGAACAACATTGCCGCCTTGGGAGCATTTGTGTACTGGCTGGATGACAAGACCAGACCGGAGTGGATCACTGTCAACGGAGAGCGTCGTTCCGCGGAGCTGCAGCGTCTGTCGCAGTTCACCGACATCAGTGCCGTGTGGACACCGGATGCGAAAGTGCTGCGCAATCACATGGCACAGTTGCCCAAATTGTTCCCACATCTGCATAGCCTAACGACGTCTGCTCGTGCCCCAAGCATCTGATGCTACTGGAAGACAAGGAGAACTACGGCGTGTATCCGGCCAGAAAATTTTAAGTGGCGGGAGTAGTGACTGGACTGGGAGGACTGCCCGGCGGATTCAGCTGACAGTCAGCAGAGGGCAGCGACAAGGCTCTGATCTGCGATGGTACCACCAGTGACAACTGTGACAATGTCCACGATGAGGCAAGTTAAAGGGAAGGATAGGATGGATCAATAAGAATTTACAATTGTTAATATTTTCCGCCATTTACCTTGAGTAGTTGAACTATTTAAATATAGGGGGCTTAAGTGGGCTAAGTCGGTTTTCCATCATACGAGTCGCTATATTGTTGTTGAGCAACCAAAATTGAGGCAAAAACAATCAAAGCCAAGTATTTAATATGCCAGTCAAGTAGAAAATTGATTCATTAATCGGATAAAATTATGTGGGCATGGCTAAATATTCTATCTAGCTAGTAATATTCCACGGAATAAAAAAAACGAGGAATATGTATAATGAACTTGAATTCGTCAGTATATTTACGGTATATTTTTAAAGTGAGACCGTATATTCTGGTATATCTGAGAGTAAGTCGGTATATTTTAACGATAAATCCGCGGTCACACTGCCTCTAATAAGAAATAAGAAATAAAATAAAATAAATTAAGTAATTGTGCGGAATAAAAACGGAACGTGCGGTCAATTTACAGCGCCTGACAGTGAGGCACATCAGCGCTAAAATGCAGGGACCGGGCTGCACTTGCAACGAATGGAAAATAGTGCAAATTCCGCAACAAAAAACAGCGCCACACAAACTGAAAGTGTAGTGTAGAGTGACGACAGGCGACAGGGGAGAATAAATCTAATTATAAAAATAAGAGTAAAAGTGCAAGCGCAAAGCGAATCCGATCCACACAAACACACAAACACACATACACACATCCACAAAGACATAGAGCGGTTAATTAGTGGCAGAAAAATTAACGATTTTTAGAGGAAAAACACACAAAAGCAAAGGCAGCAGCGGTAGCAGCAGCAGCAGCGCAGCAGCGGCAGCGGCAGGTAGAAGCAGCAGCGACAGCCTTTGCGTGTGTGGCGCGCAAGGCATGGGCTGAGAAGAGGTGTGGCGGCGCGTTGAGGCAAGGCTGCAGCAGCACCAGCAGCAGCAGCAGCAGCAGGAGGAACACAAAGCATCAACATTACCGCACAGCCACGTAATGGCCAGCCAATTGGATGCCAATGTCAAGGACGATCTGAAAACACAATTCGTAACGCGCGAGGGCACCTACCGGCTGCTGACCCTCTCCGAATACTCCCGCCCCAATCGCGTCGGCTACAGCAGCAACCAGAGCTCGCCGCAGGTGCGCGTCTCGATTGTGACGCTACCGAATCCGGCGCATGGCAGCAGCACCAATGCCGGCAACAGCAACAGCAACAGCAATGGCAATAAGAGCAACAACGAGCCGGCTGCAGCGAGCGGTGCATCGCCCACAGCAGCAGCAGCGGCGGCAACCACAACAACTACAACAACGAGCGGTAATCGCGGCACAAATTCGAATGGTGCCTCAACGGCAACACCTGCAGCATCCACCAGCAACACCACCACTCCAACAACAAGCACATCTGGCGGTGCGGGAGGGGGCGGCGGTAACATCTCCAATGGCGGTGCTGGCGGTGACAACAACTACAACAACAGCAATAGCACCGTAGACGCCCGCCTGGGTGGCGGAATCTCCATGCACTCGATGATGAATGGCGGAGTGACGGACCAGAATGGGATGGCCAGCAGCCAGGTCGTGGGCGGGGATCGAATCTGCTTCAACTTTGGCCGCGATCTCTATGTGTACTCCTTTCGCGGTGCCAAAAAGGTGAGTGATGCTCCGCTCATCAATCTGTGGCGAAGGAAGACGGCTTATCAGGCCACTGGAGCAAGAGGGGCACATGCTCTAGAGAGCTGCTAGATAAGCGCGCAATTGCATTCTAGGCAGGCAGCAGATTGCACCAGATTGCAATTGGTAAACCAAATGGTTTCGCGGATACCCATGCAGGGGGGGTGTCGCTGTGTCCCCTTGAGGGTCGGGTCGGCCGCTTAATTTGCTCTACTTCGAGCAGCGTTTGATCAATTCTCCGCTTGTTTGTCGTTTTTATGAATGTTTATTGCATTCGAAGGTAGCGCACAGCAGATGCACATGTCCGCTGGGGCTTGGAGGGTGCATTCTAGGGAAAATGTACATTTAGATAGTTCAAACAGGTGACCATTAGTCATAGAAGCAGGTAGAATATCCATCAAGTTAATAGCGGGAGATGATCGTCTGAAACGTGGATGAAATTCCAATTTGAGTAGGGCATGAAATGTAGGGTATTTTATAGTGTTTTTGTATCTATCTGATATTCAGAATCACGTGGATCATTGGCTGAAAGGGGCCCTGGCTGGCTTTTTGTAGATGATACGTTCCTGTCTTTGCCGAATCCCTTTGAAAGTCTCAATTTCTGATAGAAATCTATCAATTATCACCGACTGATGCTAATCTTTAAACGGATCTAAAGTACATGGTTATATTCCATTCTCATCAATATTTCTACTCAGTAAATGGTGAAAAATCAATCAATTATCAGCTATCTATATTCCCTAAGCTCCGTGAAGAGTCTTTCGATGGCTTTAGACATGTTATGCGTCATTTTGAAGTGTCTTTCCATATCTATCTGTTGATTAGTGAGTGTGTGCTCTGTTCGACTTGGAAGCCAGCTCATTCTTATGTGTGCAACCATTGTAGCCATAGCCCTGCCCTCCGTTCCCTTCTGTGTAGCAGCTGTTTCTAATTCTTTTGGCATTGTTGCCGCACGGCCTCCAACCAGCTTGCTTTGCAATTCTTTTACATATTTAGTCTTGTGTTTGCCTTTTTTTTTTTTTTGGTGTTTTGTTGATATAGTTGCTATCCGTCCGTCTGTGTGTTATCTGAGAAAAAACTTGGCAAACGTTTGAGTTGTAGGGCCCGTGGGCAGGGGCCACCTGATTCCGGCAACGAGCCGCTAATTTCCATCCAGCCTCCTGAATAAATGTGTTAATTTGTATGAGATTGCGAGAGGGTTTTCCAGTGTTTCAGATGATAGTTATCGTCTCTCTTGTTTGCAGGGCACGGAGATGAGCAAACCGATCGATAAGAAGTTCTACAAGGGCACCAATCCCAGCTGCCACGACTTCAACTCGAACTCGGCCACGCCCACGGGCGCACCGCTGCTGGTGGGCTTCACCACGGGCCAAATTCAGCTGGTATCCCCGCAGATGGGGCCACGGGAGCTGCGGAAGCTGTTCAACGAGGAGGTAAGTGGAAGTGCACACGTGCAAGAGTTGATTCTAAAAGCCCAGTTTTGTCTATTTGCAGCGCCTTATCGACAAGACCAAAGTGACCTGCCTGAAGTGGCTGCCGAATTCTCCCCATTTGTTTCTCGCCTCGCACTCGTCGGGCCACTTGTATCTGTACAACGAGGAGCTGCCGTGCGCGGCCACGGCGCCCAACTACCAGCCGTTCAAAATGGGCGACGGCTACACGATACTCACCTGCAAGTCGAAGTCGACGCGGAATCCCCTCTACAAGTGGGCCTTCAGCACCGACAACTGCTGCATCAATGAGTTCTGCTTCTCGCCGTGCGGCTCCAATCTGGCGGTCGTCTCGCAGGACGGCTTCCTGCGGGTCTTTCACTACGACACCATGGAGCTGCTGGGCATCGCGCGTTCCTATTTCGGCGGCTTCCTCTGCGTCTGCTGGTCTCCCGATGGCAAGTACATTGTGGTCGGCGGCGAGGATGATCTCGTGACGGTGTGGTCGCTGCAGGAGCGCCGTGTGGTGGCCCGCGGCCAGGGCCACCGTTCCTGGGTCTCTGTGGTGGCCTTCGACCCCTACACCACGTCCTACACCAACTGGGACGGCGGCGACTTCAGCGACGACGAGAACCAGCTGAACGAGCAGTACACGGCCTCCCGGGAGGCCCGTTTCTCAGGCGACTCCACGGCGAACGGAGGGTTCGAGGGCTTTGACCGGAACTCCACGCCCGTGCATGCAGCCCGGCCTCGCCCCCACTCTGCCTCGTTTCGGTCGGATGCCTCGTCGGCGGCGCTGGCGCCGGACAAGCTGGCCATCAGCTACCGCCTGGGATCCGTCAGCCAGGACACGCAGGTCTGCCTCTGGGATATTACGGAGGACGTGCTACGGCACCCGCTGGCGCTGAGGCAGCGTGTGAACAGCACGCAGCTGAACGACACCAGCTTCCTGAACGGCGGCATCGATGCGGACGGCATCAAAGTGATACGGCCAATCGCCATCGGACATGGAGCCGGCGGCAACGGCAACGGCGGCGGCGGAGGCAATCATGCAGCGGATTTGGACAGCTGCAGTCCCACCAGAGAGACGGCGGTTGGAGGAGGAGCCACCGAGAATAGCAACAGCAGCTCCAGCAAGTTCTCCACCGCCAACTGCACGATATCCTCGCAGTCCTCGAATGCCAATACCCCGCCCGAGGACTGCGAAACGGAGGCAGCCACCCCGGCCTCCACATCATCGAATGCGGCAGCCACTACGCCAGCAGCAGCGGCAGCAGTGCCGACTGCAGCACCAGCAGCACCCTCCACCAAGCAGAACAGCCGGACGCATGGGACAAGCAACTCAATCAAATTCCCCAACTGCATCAGTGCCACCAAGTCGGACAGCATCGATGGGAATGCGAGTGCGAGTGGAAGCGGAAGCGGCGGCCAACGGACATCCTATGCCACGTCCGGGTACAACAGCAAGACTTCCAACAGCTCGACCAAGTCCTCGAACTCGGGCAGCGGCTTCAGCGCCTTTAACAGCCTCACGCAGCGGCTGTCGAACTTGAATTTCCTGAGCAACTCGGACAAGAAATCTTCGTCCAGCGTCGGCCACGAGGGCAGCAACTCGACGGCGCATCGCCAGCACCGCAAGGCCATGAGCATGCTGAAGAGCTACAATCAACACAACAATCACAGCAGCAATAACCACAGCAACAACAGCAGCTCCTCCAACTTTGGACACTCGAGCAACCAGGAGTCGGGCGTTGCCATCGGCAGCAGCTCGACGGCGCACAGCTTTGGATCGCTGAAGCTGAGCAAATCCTCCCACAATGCCTCCTCCCTGGTGACGGGCGCCCAGTCGGCGGCCACTGTGAGCAGCTTCGATCCCATGAAGCTGATCGGCACGCCCGCCTGTCCGCGCTTCGACGAGTGCCCGCTGCTGGAGCCGCTGGTGTGCAAGAAGATTGCCCACGAGCGTCTCACGGCGTTAATATTTCGCGAGGATTGCTTTTTGACAGCGTGCCAGGATGGGTTTATTTATACATGGGCGCGGCCCGGTCATGCAACAGTAAGTACTGCAACGATAGACAATCAAAACCATGTTCAATCGAATCTCTTCCTTTGCAGCACACCAACCAGCAGCACTTGTCGCCCAGCCAGTCGGCGGCACCTGGTGGGACGGTAATCTAGTAGTTCAATAAAACTATCAGCGTTCATCTTGTCAAGGAGCAAAAGGCGCAGAGGGAGCAGGAGCGGAAGTGGATGCAGCAGGTGGTGGAGTGCAGTTGGTGATCTAGGATTAAAACTAGGCGATTGATTTCGATAATTTATTGATAGGAGAAAAGAGTTTTAAAGGTTTTTTATGTTGCGTATTTTGTATTCCAAATGTAGCCTAAATGTAGCACCCCCTACACACCCCCACACACACCATAAACACCACACACTCCTTTACATATATATATATATGATATATATAGCTATGTAAAACATAACTACGATTTATATGCAGCAGAACAGAACAAAACCCACACACATGTACACATATGTACGCGAGATAGAGAGTGTTGTGTGAAGAAAAACCTAAATTATTAGTTGTAAATGTATTATTTTTTTAGTACGTGGAATTTGTTGAAAACAAATGCAAAGCAAAGCATGTTTATAACTATTTACTAAGCGCTAGCCCTAAACACACTACACTACACCTACACAGAATAAAAGCAAAGCAAAAAAAACAAAAACGAACATCAAATGAAGCGAAAATCATGCGAAAAGATCGAAGAAACAGGAGAGCAAAACCAATGCTGATTTAGCGAATGTTTTCCCCCATTTGTGCTATGAACTGAGGCCCCAACTAACGAACGAGAGAGCGAATGAAAACGGAAAACGGAATAAACTATGAATAACTACATATACATACATTTATGTAAAACAACTCACGAGAGAACTAAACCTAAAGCGTAGGAACTGTTATACCTATACGGACTATTATTATTATTATTATTATTACTATTACTATTATTATTGTGCATTCTTATGCCTCTTATTTTGAATGCGGTCACCCCCAGGGCAGGCGGGGGGTGCGACGAACAAATTAGACTAAAAAGCAGACGACAGGTAACTGAAACATCAGCATACATACATACACGTATATATTTTGTAACAAAATCAAGAAAAACTAGCGACAATTTGCAAAGGGATCCCCCCACTGGCAGGCTGGCAGCAACCACCAGTTAGCCATTAAGTTTATCCGGACAGCAAACAACAGAAGCAACCAACCAACAAACAAACAAACAAGCAACACGTTACAGTAATGAAAGACTAAAAATTTCAATAAAATTATATATACAAAAAATACGAATAACTATTCAAAAGTCAACGATTGATGACCGATCCGAGAGAGATGGTGTATCGTTTTCATAGCTTGTATTTATTTATTTTATAAAATGTGCTTCGTTATTAACAAAAATATGGTTTCTCTTATGCAATCTCAGACGCAGGCACGCGCTCTCTTCTCCCAATCCTTAAGTAACAGCTAACCATTGATAAACTACTGCGAAGATTTAACACTCTGGAAATGATATCGGCTCGCATGCGGCTTCCGGTAATGTTATTACAGGGCCTTGGGCACCGGCAATAGGGCCTCCGATTCGGGTAGATATAAGTGCTTCGAGAGTAGAAACGCAAGCACCGCCTGCCCGGCCACGACCATGAAGAGAAAGTAGAGCTTCCGCTTGCGTCCGCCGCTGTAGTCGAGCTCCTGCGGATTGCTATAGGGATCATAGTTGATGGCATTGCTGGAGACAGCCGGCGCACTGTCTTGCAACAGTTTCGTTCGAAGCGTTCGCAGCTGCAAAGGGAACAAGATCAGATTAGCCCTTGCTCTCGTTTGATCGCGCGAAAGAAAGACTCACCAGAAAGAAACCAAAGGAGAAACTGGTGTAGGCCAAGGCTATAAAGTAGCCAGACCTGTAGAACAGCGTGCTGAACATCAGACAGGCCACAATGTTCACATATTTGTAGCCAGTGAATGCCAGCAGATCCAGGGTCTTGAGGCTCGTCTTGATATTCATCACATACAGGGCTATCGAGTAGATGACCAGCTCGAAGATGCTGTAGGCCATGGCACTGGAGGCCTGGATGCCCAGCTGCTCGGGCGAGAATCGCTTCTGCATGCCCAACAGCAGGCCGGCCACAATCACGTAGGTGATGTAGCCCATCGTTGGAAGATACAGATCGGGCGCATTCACATCGTACCTCGGCTGCACTGGGTGCTCTTGATCGTACTTCAAGGACCAGTCCTAAAGAGAAATTCAAGTATTTTCATCAGCGATTCCGATCATTAGATGTCTGCTGTGCGCTTCTTTACCTTGTGTATATACGGAAAGAAGAGCAATCGCAGCTTGCGTCCCACGTAGGCATTGTCCACGGCAAAGTAATACCTCAGCTTGGCCACGGGCACCCATCTCTCGAACTGATTCTCCACTATCTGCCTTCCTTGATCGGCCAGCCGCTGACCGTACTCCATGGCCATGTCCTGCACGATGGGCTGCTGGAGCATCGCGAACTGTGGAAACTGTCCACCGGGAGGCATGCCAGCCCCAGGTCCTGCCTGCGGTGCTCCCATGCCGTATGGCGGCAGTGCTCCCCCCTGTTGTGGTTGTGCATAGCCGAAGCTCTGCTGCTGCGGCTGCTGATAATTTTGTGGCGTCTGTGGCTGCTGTGGTTGATAATGCTGCTGCTGTGGCTGCTGCAGAGGCTGCTGAGATGGTGCCACGTTGAAGCCGTAGCTAGTCGACGGGGCAGCAGCAGCTGGGCCGCCGCCGTACATGTTGGGGTCCAACATGCCGGGCCCGGACGTCGGGGGCATGAACGTTGGTCCGCCCATCACCGGGGCCGACGGGCCCATTGCATTCATGTCGCTGATGCGCTTGTTTGGCCGCGGGCGGCCGCCACCTTGTGCTATTTTGGTCAAGAAAAAAGCCTGTGGTTAGTGGCAGAGCACGAGAGTAGCGATGGCATAGACGAAACGTGGGGAAAGTGATGGAAACAAGTAAAATCAAGCTACAACGCAAACAGCAAACAGCAGGAAAAAGGCGGAACAGGACGGATTGTGTTAGTGCGGGATAAAAACAGGATAAAACATTGAACGTCCAGCTGCAGGCGCGGCCCGTTCCAACAGTCTGGTCAGCAGTAGTCCGGAGGAGCGGCGGCGGCGGCTGGTCTGCCTTCGTGGTATACTTGCTTGCCGTTGCTTGTTCCTTACAGTTTTCCCACTTACGATTCCGCATACCCGCATTTGGATTGTAGTTCATCTTGCTCGCGCCAAACTCCGACCGGTCTGCTTATTGGATACTATATAGTTTCTGCGTTACTTGACGAAAATATATTCAAAATTCTATAAACCACATCACCACATCATCAGTGTGACCGCGGACTTGATCAAATATACCGTCCGACCCTCAGAAATATACCAAAATATACCGTAAATATACTTACGAATTCAAGATATATTTTAGATCTTCCTCGTTTTTGTTTTCTGTGGAATATTGGTAGCTATATAGCTGACTTAAAAAGTATAGGTTTAAATATAGAAAACGTCTTCAAACAATCATTGCTTTATTTATTCATATAATTTCCATTATTATGTTTATTTTTTCTAATTTGTCACCAATTGTCACAACTAATGTAGGTATTTTTGCGGCAGCCCATAGTTATCGCAGCAGTTATCAAGCCTGCCTCTTGTCTGTATATAAACTTAGGAAAATTTCCAACTAAAAAATATATGTTTTTATAAATTTTCTAGCAATCAATTTTAAAAATAGCCAGAACGCTATTAAATTGCTGAATTGGCCACACTGACAGGAATATCGATACATTTTCCCCTTGGCGCGCACCACTCGTCAATACTATGGAACCGATTACCATAGAATTGCCATTATAAATACATAAACTAGTCAGTCTCTGTTTTAAAGTTTACGGTTATCCCTCGGGGACCAAGAATAGGTATCGGGATCGAGATATACAAACAACCTTCTTTTATAACCAATCCAAAAAAGATGAGAATTTAAAGTTAGCCAGTCTTGTAGGAAATTGATTTATCAATCTTATAAAATTATGAGTTGAGAGCTGAGGGTCCTAGCTAGCTAGTAATATTAAACCGAACGTCAAAACCAAAGAATATTATGGAAGTTGGATCTAAATAATTCGTCAGTATATTTACGGTAATTTGGAAATTTCAGTCGTATATTTCGGCATATTTCTGAGGGTCCGGCCGTATATCGTATCGATAAGTCCAGGGTCACACTGGCCTTTGATTTTGAGCGCATTCCGCGTCGCCAAAGTAAATAAATGTAATTAAATGGAAAACGCGTTTATAAAAAGGCGTTCGCTGACGCTCAGCACGCGGTTGCTGCACAAACGCCATAGCGGTAAGTGTTTGCAACGCATTGGTTCGACCGCGGTATCATTATAATGCGTTTTTCCAACAGCCTCACCGCAAAACTGCGGGCGCCCTGGAAGCGGACACGATGTGACAATGGATGCACCTGGCTCTCCCTCGTCTATTGTGGACACACTAGACGATGTGGAGGGCACGCCCCCCAACAAGAAGTCGTTGAGTCTCGACGATAGCGTCGACTTCTCGCCGCGCATGGACATCAGCCTGTCGCCCAACTGCCTCTTCTCGCAGACGCTGGCCACCGAGAGTCCGGAGGTCGGATGGCGTTGGAACCGCAACAGCAACGCTAGCGTGAACCCCAACAAGGTAAACACGACAACAGACAGCGGCTTCGATTCCGCAGAGCTGACTGCCGGAAAACTAAAGGATCGCCGCAGGCAGCTGACGATGAAAGGGGAGGACCGCCGCAATCAGCAGGACAGCGACCTGTGGCGCGCGAAGCAAATACGCGCACGAGAGCTGCTCAAGGAGCGTTGCGACAAGCTGCACAGGCAGCTGGACCAAGTGGCTGTGTCTGAGACGCCCAGGCCAGCGGCAGCGATGGCTCCTTCTGTGGCGGCCCGCACTCGGTCTGCCAGCAAGAGACCTCCACCAGCACCGGACCCAGCGTTTGAAGACTTTCTCAATGACTCGGAAACGGACATGTTCCTGCTCGAGGCCTCGCAGCAGCTGGAGTCGAAGATGGAGACCCATGAGACCAGATCGACAGCAACAACCACCACACCCACCAGCCATCACAAGACGAAGCGGCCCTCGTTCTACATGAAATTTCTGGAGGATGAGAGCGAGAGCGAGGACTGGCTGACGGCCCTCGAGGAGGCTGTCGATCAGGCCACCATGCCCAAGAAGCCGCGCACCTCGTTGCAGCGCTATAAATCGATGCCCGCAACTGGCGATACATCTGCCGTGAAGAATGGGGCCAGAGCTAGCAATGGATCTGCCGCAGGCGCCAGCACATCGTCGGGATTGTCCAGCCTGACGGAGACGCCACGCATCAAGCGACATGCCAGCTCGCACGCGCTGTCCCCGGCCACGTCGCATGGTAAGTGCTCAATGAAATCCCATTCCCAAGAGCCATAACTTATTATAGCATTCCCTGTAGCGCGCGGCAAACTTTTTGGCAGCCGGAAATGAAACTCGATATGGCTACTTCCACCGAATCAGCACTCCACAGGCGCACAGCCCACCAAGCATCGGCCTTCCCCCTCAACGAGTATCAATTGTGATGAGAGCAAATGTTAGGTTTCGTTTCGCTCCCCAAACTGTTGACCATTCTGCAGTACTGCGTGTATACGAGCAAGATAATTGAATTTGTGCAGCTCTGAAGCTACTTTGTTCATTTAAATTTAAGGCTAATTAAAAGTTAATTGTAATTTAAAGCGTTCCGCGGCCGGCCATTCGCCCATTCGGCCATCGAAAGTCGTAATGTTTACGCGGCCGGAACACAGCGCATGCGACCGGCCATATGCTCGGCATTATCGGGGGGCAGCACCTGCGTTGTCAGGCGTTGCGCCGCTCCCCTGGCCAGGTTGTAGCTCCTGTAACTGGCTGCTCGAAAGGCGGAGGCTTCGACTCCCCGCGGGTTTAAGTTAAGCCTTCCTTCCGTTGAGTAAAATAATTGAGATGTAAGCAAAGTATTTTAGTTTTTAGTAGTAGTCTTTGGGGACTCTATGTTTATCCTTTTTGTGGAGTTTCCAGAAACTTCTGCTTACATATAATTAAAGTCGCTTAAATTATGTTTACATTTGACAGTTGATTGTCCTGCAGATAAGCCATTTCCTTTGCACACTTTCTCCGAGAATAAAAGGGAAAGTGTGCGCGCGATTTATGGGAAAATGAAATGAATGAGCTACCAGACAATCGCAAAAGGCATAAAAGTCAAGAAAGTTTCCTCCGGCTGCTGCTTAAAGGGTTTGGAGAGCAGCACTTTATGAACCTATTTGGGCTAAGGTCAAAGTTGAAGCCTTTTCGCGTGTGTGCGTGTGTGGGGCACCATTATAGGACCCGCAAGAGGGCCAGGCAATTGCGTACGAGAGTCCTTTATGAATTGCCGTTGCAATGAAGCGGCCAAAAGCCAAGTATGCTGCCATATGTTGACGGAGTGCAGCATAAACCAATGGCAGCCGAGCAACAAAACCGAGGCACTAACAGTTTTAGAAGTTTAGAACAGAGTGTGAGTGTTTGTTTGTGTGTGTGAGGGGCAGGGATGGGGATGTGGATGGCGATGGGGGTGGGGCACTGCGGGTGGCTAAATTGGTGACGTCTACAGGCTACGAAAAATGCTGCAAAAGCAAAGGGAAAGCCAGAATGGGAGGAGACGGAGGGAGCCAAAGAATCGCAAAGCCAAAGCCAAAGCCCTGCGAAAAGCAGCTGAGATACGAAGGCGGCCAGAGCGGGACAGAACCAGCGACGAATCGAAACGCGTTGAGTGGGCGCCCAGCGCCCACAGCGGGGGGAGCCAGAGCTTTGTCAGGAGCTTTCCTCCAAGCTTTCTCTTGTGCGGCGCCTGCTGGACATTCATAATGGCGTCTGCTCACGACGCTGGCAAACAGTTTTCAGCGCGCAGCGCCCAAGTGAAGTTCGTGGCAGCGCATAAAATTCAGCAGGAAGGAAAACCACCACCGCCGCCCCACTAAAAGCACAACAACGACCATTTAAAGAGCCAAAAATAAAGGAAAACAAATCCTCAACCACAACAAAGACAAACTGATTTTCGGTGCATTGCTCTGCGATTCGCGTGGCAGTAGGAATCCAATCCTCTTTCGTGTGCAGTGAAGCGCGGCCTTTATTTTCGACACTTTCAAGCTCCCCAGTCCCCCACTCCGCCCCCACGAAAACATCGAGAGTGTGCTGTTAGCGTTGCCCCATCGTCAGGAAACCATACAGCCACACAGAGGAGGACAGGTCGGGTGGACAACGCGTGAGATGTTCATTGCAGCAGCCGCCTGGAGCTGCACTGCTGCTTCATGGCGCCTGCTGAGCGCCGGGCTGCTAGCCCTCTCCCTGCTCCAACTGGCCGTTGAGACGGGTGCCGGATCGAGCGGCGGATTGGGCAATCAGGCCGTGTTCACTAGCTCGTTCCTGGTGCGCTTCCGGCGCAACGTTGACAATGACTTCGCCCACCAGGTGGCCGACAAATATGGCTTCGACAATCTGGGGCCGGTAAGTAGTCCACCATCCGCACTACCCAATCCACAGGGATGGCCTACCTGTACTGCAGGCTCACCTCACGATTATAGGCTCGGAGGAGGCCGCCTGAGTGCGAAAAATCAATTATTTTATTGCCGTCGGCTTGGGCAACGAGCTTGGGCTTTTCCATGGACTTGGGCTCCGACTTGGGGCCTGCTGTAAAAGATGAGAGGGCGATAGCGCCAACACGACATTGTTAACACGCTGCAGTTGTCAGGCAACTGTCAAGCAGTAATTGTGGCTACTTAGGCGTCTGTATATGTTTCCTGTTCGTGTGTGCCACAGGAAACAAATGCACTAAAAAAAATATCTATTACTGAATGTTAGAACATACCGGATTTTTGCACAAATTTTCCAAAAAATCAATATTTCATGGTCAAATTTTAGGAAATCCAAAAAAAGAAATGTGGAAAAAAAGTAAATAACATATAAAACTCCATGGCAACGCTTCGGTTTTGTATTTTACTGAGATTTGTTCTTTGAATTGGATACTAAATAAACCTTTTACGCATACAAATTCTGTTACTGCTAAAACAATTCTTGAAAGAAGAGTTTTTGAAGAACAAAATCCGATATTTTGTTTTCTCTTGTTTTTACTATAAAGCTAAAAAAAAGAGTGTAAAGAGACTAAAAAAGAAACAATTATTCTACCATGTTCCCTTTGGCATTCCATGGGAAAGTTCAGGACTCTTTTTATTAGAGTGTAGAATGTGTTTCATTTGAGGAGAAACAACCGCAAAAGTTTTTGGCTTTGGCATTTGCAAAACTTCCGTCGGCCGAGAACAATTTCCACAGCATACCCGGCAGGCGAAAACTGTGGCAGAAAATTCGCGCATTGCATGCTAACAAGCCATCGCATTCGGGACAAGGTCACCAGAACCGCCTCCCATAGCCAGAGCCACCTACATGATTATATGCTCGTATGGGAAAGCACTTTCACCTGACTGCCACTGACTGGCAGACAGACCCCAGTGACCCGAGACCGAGACGGGGACGGAGACGGGCGGCTGCGTTATGTGTCTGCCGTTTGGAAACTCATGTTGTCGGGCAGGTACTGCATAATATGTTCTGGATATGCCCTAGGACTTGACAGCTATTACGCTCACTTGTTGCATACTGGTACTGGTACTGGTACTGATACACTGGGAGCGGGTCAATCAATTCATGGAATTGGGAAAATTAATGGGAATTCGAGGCGGGTGCTGGTGGGAGTACCATTAATTAGGGCCGTCAATTACCATTGCAATCCATCAGGGTCAGAGGGTACTACCTGTATTAGGCGAGCGCTGAAACCAATTACTTTTTCCCTATAAGTACCACGGCCCACGCGTGATTTATAGGAAAGTTGATACCAAGGCCAACACCTGAAACCCACTTGGTGTTGCGGGCCGGATCGCCATCCTCCTTTGGTCTCCGTTCTCCGTATTCCTTTCTATGTTCGCCATTATCCATGCAGTAGTCGTCCTTGTTATCTCGGGACTTTATTGCGACATCGATGCTATTTGCAGTGGCGCAATCTCATCTGTGCCATCCGCCCCGCACTCTAGCTGATTGCATGCCACGGTTGCTATGAGACTGGTCATGCACTGCACAAGATAGTACCAGTGCGAGTCCCGACTCCGAGTCCTAGTCCGGCTCTGGGTTGAGCTTGGGGTCGTGCTCTGTGAAAAACGAACCTTGCTGCCACTAATTGCGTCGAGATGTTTTGCTGCCCACACACCCACTTTGCAGGGGTAGCAAGGAGGTCTGCAACAACAGTGGTAACAGCCATTCGAGTTTAATTAAACGCCTGGCCTGGCCTGGCCTGGCCTGGCCTGGCCTGAGCCCTCGATTCGAGCTCAAGAGGGACATTTAATTAAGCTCCAGCTGAATTCTCCTCCTCATCGGCATTGCTTTTTATTCAATTTTGTAACTCTGAAATGAATTTAAAAGTAGGGATTATTACTAATGTATTTAAAGGAATGTACCTTCGAATTTAGAGAGCTTTTTGAGAAGTCGGAAAAGTAGCAGGACAATACTCTTTAGAGTGTCATTCACACCAATAAGGACTAGTAATAGCGATACACTCAGCTTTTCCATCAATCATACTGTACTTTCCAGTGAATCGGCGATATACAACACATTCCCATCAATCGGATTTAATCTCTAGAGGGATACAGAAAACATGTCCGTCAGTCGCAGCTCTTATCAGTCCTCACTCGAAAGTTAAGTGAATTGGGTAGTACGATACCTTTTTTTAAAAATAGAACTCAAATTTAATTACGATTTGCTGCTCGTTGCGGGTTCGTTTCCGTGGCCCTTCGTTTTGGGCTTTAGATAATTGGGCAAAAACTCCCTATTCCCTTGTGTGGGTGCCGCGGGGCGGGGCGGGGCGCATGTAATAAAATTGCGGCACATGTAGCAGTAACGCAAAAAAAAGAGCGAACCAAATCTGTGGCTCCTACGTCAAACGCTATCTACGAATACAAATCAAAATGTATCCTAAACAAAATATTCGCTTTCCAAAGGCAAACACACGGCAGAGAGAGGTGGAGCGAGACAGACAGGGGGCAGGGATACGATACATACTTCAGCTCTCATTCCAATCGATATTGCGTATACGCCGCCGCGTCTTATCTGAGTGTGTTTAGATTTTATTGCCTTTGATGTTACGACCTTATCGGCAGTAAAACGTTAGATTCCGTCAGCTATTGGTAGACCCACACAAATGCATATAAATCTCGATCTTCGATTAATTGCTGGCCGGCAATTTGAATAAAAGAAAGCGAAAGTCAATTTCGTGCTTAGGTAAATACATATGCTTCCTGATTGCCTCGGTTCACCTTCCACCGTCCACAGTCCACGCACTCTGAGGTGTTGGGACATGGCGATGGAGTCGGGTTATATTATGCTTGCTGCTCCTTAAAATGATGGCCGACTGTTGCTTTTTGTTCCTTGTTGCCACAGCCTCGGCTAATGCCTCAAAGCGGCTCTTTGCCTTTGTGGTGCTTAAAAGTTTACCTACGACTTACTTTGCGGCATCGCTGAGCCTTTGAGCATGCACCATGTGCATACAGGAGAAAGGACACAGGATACAGAATACAGGTGTTTGTCTGCGGCTCGTCGTGTGTGTAATAACTTTAAAAGCTAACGAAACCCAACTGCCCCGGAACCCCTCCGTGGCTGGCAGCATCATGAGCCGCTTGTCGTCATTGTGGAGCTGTTGGGCAAATCCGTGCATAAAGCGTTAAGTCAAGGCATGCCTTGACGTGGCCAATGGCAACAGGCAACAGGAAACGGGCGCTAGCTCTTACACTCCATCCCGGCTTTTGCTTGTGATGTTTGCCAAGCGGTGCTAAGCCCCAAGACTACCAACTACCCCAACAACTTGTCAGGTGAACATTTATTACAGCACTCTCCCTCTGATTGACTCCGACAGTGGCTCTGCAGTGCAACTGTTTCTGAAATGTCAGTGCTCATCAGATATGCATAGTTTCATATTGCGCCACAAGTTTTGCTCATAAATTATGCAAGACTGTTGCGACCTTATTAGCAGAGACGAAGACTCGTCCCTTTGCATGGATAACCCTCACAAAAAACCTCATTTGCTTGTGGAGGCAGGAGCTTCGGAAAGACAAATGTCTCAATGAGTCGGTGGCTTGACACTGGAGCATTCATCTCCGTTTGCCGATCAACGTTCCGTCTTCGTTTGGCTGTGTTTTCTTTTCATTTATTATGCCAAATGAAAAACGAGTTTACAAATTCACTGTGGCCGCTCGTTCAGATGCTTGCAAATTAAAGGCACAGACATTTGTAACCCAGGGCGAGCATATGTTGGCAAATACAAGACAAACAAAAGAGGCACACCCGACAACCCACACACCCCACACACAGATACACGTACACCAGTATTTCTGGTGGACAAACAGAGACGCAGTTGGAGTTGAAGATGGGCGGGGATACAGGTCTACCCAGGAGAGAGCCAAAAACCACAGGCACACATGCCCCCCACACACACTCTAGCACCACACACAATGCTCTATCACGTATACGCAGTGTTGAGTCCGGCCAAGCCAAGGCGCATTATTTATTTATTTTTAGCACTGCGAAACTGCTCGACTATCCACTGTCGGACAAAGGCAGGACCCCTAGTGCCATATGACACCAATTTTCTCACAGATGGAGGTCTTATGAGTCCGAGTATCAACTGGCCTTGAATGGTCATTCAATAGTTGCGCTAACTAGCAAAAATTGAACCAAGACTAGAGCTAAGTAATCAGAGAAATGGAGAGAAATTGGATATACATATATTATAAACGCAACATGATATGCCATCGGACCCTAACAAAGGTTCATACAGTCTCCAGAATGAAGAAAAGTGCAAACGGTTTCCATTTAAAGAATTTATAGCTCTTGCGCACATTTCCCCTTAAAGGTGGCTTACCTCCCGACATTGATGCTCCAAACCATACACTGGCTCTTTTATATCCACCTACAATCATAGCATCGCTTTCCGACATATCAGTCAACCTTTTTGTTAGAGATTTAATTCAATTTAGATCCCATTAAAAAGTTTATGTTTGCCCAATGTAACTTCACTCTCGGCACCTTGACCTACACCCAATAACTTTTCAGTTTTCCATGGAACAGGAGTAGGGAATATTTGGCAAATATTTGCCAACTTTTTGTTTGCATTTTGGGATATATCAAATTACATTACGCAACCTTGTCCCACGCCTCTTTCGCCCGCCCTCTCTGTTGAAATATAATTTCATAAAATGTGTTTCTAACTATAAATTTGGGCACAAAAAGCTGGGAATGGATTTCATTAAGCCCTAATGATAATTAGAAAGTTTTTGGGTTACGTCTGGGTCCGGCCACAAATAAATACTACTTGTAAATTCCATTATTTTGCTGTGATGGCATCATGGGGCTTAAGCTGTTTGAGGCGGAGGACAAGAGGAGCTCCTGCTTAACGTGTTGACGAGGTGTTT